AAATGAAAAATCAAAATCTTTTACTTTTGGCGTGCTTCTAAATACAGGGCTGACGTGTGGTTATTTTCCACTTTGATGAAGGTAGAGACATAAAATTGAATCATGTAAATGGACTTAACTACAAAAAGAGCATTAAATATCTTTTTCACACTCACTTTAACACAATAGTCTCTGCAACTAAAACGCAACTGCTCAGAGGTTTTTTTTTTAACAAGTGGTCCTATTACAAATGGAAAATATGGCAGCTTTAACAAACGGATTGCCCTAAAAGTTGCATAATATTTTCTGCTAAAATTCATACATTCTCAATGAATTTCAAGAAATTGTGCATCGTAAGTTGAATCCAAAAGCTCAAATGGTGGTGGGTTCAAAGAATAACATGAAAATTTTAAAATGTCTCTCCCCCCTTTTCAACCAAACAAAAGATTTCATTCTTTAAAACAATAAACGCATAAATGTTGAAAATATTAACAAAAAGAAAGAAATGGATGAAAGAAAAGAGCCCAGAATCCTCAAAGCGGAAATCTTTGACTGTTTGGTTTTGAAAGAGGAAACCGGCTATGGAATACGAAGTGAATGTATTGGTGTGGATGAAGGGATATGATTGAAAATAGCAGTTTGGGAAGAATAAAGCGAAACTTATGGAAAAATAAATAAAGAGAAATATTTGCTGATTTTTAAAGATTGTATTAGAATCCCTACCTAAAATATCTAATATTTACACTTCTTTCTTCTAAAATATATAATATCTACGCTTCTATTTACATTACGAAAAATTTATGTGAGCTATTAAAGAGTTATGCTTTTTAAATTTTGTCGTCTTGAATCCGTACAATACTTAGACCAAACATCTAGAAATAAACTAAATGTATAAAAATAAAACAGGGATTCAAAGTAAGGTATAAGAATGACAGTAAATGCAAAGAAGAAGGGATATAATTAAGTTATAAATTAGAAAACAATAAATATAATTTTGAGTGTGAACAAAAAGCATTAGATAACATAAAAAACGAAAATTTTAGAAGAGCTTGCACATGCCGAATGACAAAATCCCTAATAACAAAAATTGCCACCTAATGACAAAAATTTGAAAAAACACCAGTTGCAGGCCGAGATATCATTTATTAATCACATTTACAGAGCGAGAATAAAGGCATGAGTATTTTAAATCTATATGGTGCTCTTGACAATTAACATAAAGCCTAAGGAACGAAAGATTTATTTTTAACGAATTCACGCTGTAAAGGGTTTTCTTCTTTCCTGATGCGTGACGTCCTGGTGTAATTGTAAGCACGCACGTCCCGGTGGCAGTTGGGATTCTCAGAGTTCGATCCTGGTGAGGGTATTGCTTATTTTTTCACGCTTTACAAACCGCACAAGATGATAAAAACATTATATTGTTGATAAACGGATGTAGTATTTAATAGGAATAAAAATAAGTTCCTATAAAAAAATAGTATCTCATTAATTCTTTTAGGGTTTATCGATTTATTAATATGACTACACTTTATGTCGCCACCATTTCCTCGCTAATGTCGTTCTAATTTTCATTAGAATCACTTTTTCACGTTGATTTGCTGTCTCTATGAGCAGATATTTTGTCTTGTTGCTTTGTATTTCTTACTTTTCTACGCGATTTGAGAATATTGTCGTTTATTTTCGAAGAACTCGTAATATGTTGTGCATTTAAAGTTTTGTGAAAAAATAATAAAATAAATGTAGATTTTCAAAAGGAAAAATGGTTGGGATTGACTAAGCGGAAAAGTGATAATTCACAGCTAATGGATACAGGATAATCTACTAGCACTAAGACTATTGAAAACGAAAGAAAAATTGTTTATAGACAATATAACGAAACTTATTTATCATTTGGGTTTACTTGGAATGGAGAGGAAATGTGCCGTCAACCTCAATCTGCTATGAACTATTAGCCAATCACAGTATGAAACCATTGCTTCTTAAAAGACATCTTGAATCTAAGAACGCCAATCTAAAGGATAAATCTGAATAATATCTTAAGAGGAAATTATTGGAGTTCAAAAATAGCAAACAATAATGAAAGAATTTGTTACTTCAAGTGAAAAAACGGGAAAAATGCAGAATCGCCCACTGCTTGGCGCATTTTTAAGAGTTGCACATACTCGGTATCCATGTACACATCGACCTATTTTCACTTAAGGAAAGCATCCCAGAATTGCACAAAAATGGCATTGGGCATTCCCTTGACTTTATCTATGTGCACATTGACCTATTTTCACTTAAAGAGGTCAAAGAAAATTGACAAAAATCCAATTTTTCTTACTCTTGTATAAAGCGCCAAACAAACGCCAATCAAATGAGTGGGCGATTCTGCACTTTAGCCGAAAAAGCTTTGGTAGTTGGTGGTGTTGGTGTATTTAATTATGGCAAAGCACACTAGGGCTATCTGCCTAAGGGGCGGTATGCCTTTCGTGGAGGACTTTCTAAGGGAAACTGGCTCGTATACACGTTACACATGGGGAAAACCACGAAAACGCCCATGCAGCCAGCCCGTTCGCGGGATTCGAACCTCGGACCGAACTACCAGTGTTCAGCGACTTTACCGCTCGGCCGCTGGTGGGCCGAAAAAGCTTTGGAAGCTAGTTACCTAGTAAGCCTAAGAATTGCCAAGACTGAACAGGTTCACACTATTGGAGAAAAACCCCATATTACCATCAGCTAAAGCTATCATTTTAACGTTATTCAAAAAAAAAAAAAAAAAAAAAAAAAAAAAAAAAAAAGAGGCTAATGAATTACATAATATTCCGTTATCAAATGATACATTAAGTCAACGATTTCAGAAAATGGCAAATTCCATAAAACTTTGCATACGTTTCGAAGAAGATAAATAAATTGCCAAAGAATAATTATTTTGTGAATCTCTTCATGATAGAGCAACTGCAAACGAAATTTTCAAAGTAATTGACCGTATGCAGTGTCAGACCTCGGGCTTTAACAGGAAAATATTCGGGCATTATTTCTCAAATAAAGAAAATCACACCTGAAGCTAAATTTATTTACTACCCCATTCAGCTTTAATAGCCAAAACAATCCCCAAAAACCTAAAAATCGTTTTGAATCAATCTGGGAAAATTCCTAATTTTATTAAAAGCCGAACTTTAAATTCAAGAATATTTACGGTTTTATTCCAAAAGAGCGGCAGTGAACATGAAACGCTTTGTTACATTCCGAAGCAAGGTGGTTATCCACAGGCAGTGTTTTAAATCGTCTTTTTGACTTTGGATCAGAAATTCAAATTTTACTCTGCGATTGAAAATTTGAATTGTAAATTGTTTATTTAGTTAATTATGGTTGGCGCGTTTAGCACATTTAGCTGATATTTTTGGAAAGTTAAATGAATTAAATTTAGGGCTATAAGGAAAGTGTTAATTTGTTTACCATTAGAGATAAAATAAATGTAATGATAGCTAATGATAATAAATGCAATGACTCGAGCTAATAATAAAAGAATTGAATAATAAATATTTTAAGCTTTTTACCACTGTTAAAAAGTTTTCAAACGGAAGATGGTTTTAAAATAACAGAAAAATTAACATCCAATATTAAAAATCATTGTTTTTCATTTAGAAATAATTCCAACATGTGTTTTCCCGAGGATTGTGCAAAAGAAAATTGGATTAGAAATCCATTTTGTTCAAATGTACCGGAAATTTTATTTCGTGAAGAAAAATAATAATTGATAGAAATTTCCTAAGATCGAATTCTAACTGAATATTTCAAAAGTAACACACTTGTTAACTTTTTGCTGAACCGAAAAAAAAAAAAAAAAAAAAAAAAAAGAATTTAAAGGCATTTCAAATAAAGCTATTTTATCTTTATTACTTTTTTGCGCAACCTATTTGTGTGAACAAGACATATTTTCCATGTTATATTTGAAAAATAAATAAAGAAAAAAATTAAAAGTGAATCCTAATTTACGTTAAAACTAAGTGAAATAAGAGCAGACATAAAAAAATTGATCTGTCTTAAAGAGGCCTAAATTTCACTCTAAATTTTAAAATTAAAGAAAATACTATAACTTAAATTTTGATAATTAATATGGTAACCAACTTTTAATCTAACTCTTTTATGGGCGCATATTTAATAAAAATAGCCAATAGCTTAGGAAAATAGCAATATATATATAAATATTTCTATTGAGAAATTGAAAAAGAATAATTGCAAAATTTAGTTGTGGAACTAAAATTTTAATTTTTTTAAAAATGGTACGCGTTGGTCAAAGGGTTGAGAACCACTGCTCTGGAGGCATTATTAGCTGAATAGTGGCAACCAGACAGAGTTTTAGAAAAATGAAATTTTCGGTTTGTTTATGCATGTATTTTTTTTCAAATAAATTGTTAACATAATCGTATTAAATAAAGTAATAAATATAAATTACAGGTTATTTAATTAAATATTTTAATAAATAAGAATTTATATTAAATTCCTTTTTACATATATTAAATAACTTTGATTGCGTATGTATTGAATAAATTTCTGTTTACCTTAGTCAACTTCGTTTTCGTGCATGCTTTAACATTTGACAACAAATCGCATTTTCTAATCCACTACAGAAGACATGTACCATTATTTTAGTTGCCATTTTTCGTAGTGGGATTTATAGTGTGCTTTGTTAAAAGTTTCAATTTGACACCAATATAATTTTTTCAAAAAAATCAAAAATTAAGAAGGGTTGTAGAGTCATTAGGTTAATTGGAAGCAGAAAAGATGAAAAATATGCAACCGCCTTCGCCGGGAATCGAACCCCGGACCTCTGGAATACCGGCCCAGCGGGCTACCGTTACACCACGAAGGCACGCTAGGGAAGTGGGAGAAATACCTTATAGGGTGCGAATTTTATTACTCATGATTTTGTACAAAGAAACCATAAAAATGTTAAGAGATCACTGTTAATTGCTAGTTTTAAAACAAAAATTGTTTCTTTTATTACGACTATAATATATATATATATTTCATTACAGGTTCTGTTATACAGAAGATAAACTGAATCCTGTCCCTGTAGAAGTTGTAGCAGAAAATCAAGAATTAAAAGACCTCAACAACAATATTATTGTTTGATATTTTCATCAAGTGATAATTTATCTCAGGAAAGGAACTTCTGTATATAAACTTAGCTACTTCCCCTAAATGACAATGTACATTTCAGTGAATAAAAGTCTACAATGAAGTCTACATAGAATGGGGAAAAACAGTTGCAAAAAGTTGAAATTGGTTTAGAAAATGTTTACGTATGATGTTAGAACGTTTTCCGAACAGACCTCTTTCTGTACATGCATTAAATAAAAAATAATTCTTTGGTAAAATCACTGAGTGAATGTAAAGCGTTCATTATTTTCATGCTGTAGTAAATAAAAAGTTGTAAAGCCCATAAAAGTTTCAAAAATATATAAAAATTGAATTATAAGGGAAAAGTGACGTGACGTTGTTTAAAAATGAGCTGCATCGATAGGGAAGATTTTTGGTGCACGAAAAATAATTAATAAACTATTAGGGTTATGTACAATAATTGTCAGTAGTATCAAAAAGGATTTGTTGAATGCAAGATATCGGTTGCATATCACATATGTGTCTCACATTTTACATGTTGCATGTCATTAAACGTATTCATTGTAGTCATCAGGGGAAAAGAAGCTTTCCAGCATTGTTTTTTATGTTGTTTTATGTTTATGTTTTGTTGTTTTATGGTTACGTTTTGTTGTTTTATGGTTATGTTTTGTTGTTTTATGTTTATGTTCATGTTTATGTTTTATGTTTTGGTTTTATATTTTTGTTATGGTTCTAATTACGATTTTTATCGGCAATGGGGAATAACGGCCTATATCACGAAGATTTCCCACACGCCTCCAAAAACTACTCTTTTCTCATGAATTGTTTTCGTGAAAACCGTTTTCAATAATATTTAATTATTTCGAATAAAATACATTTTATAGAGTTTTTATATTTTGTAGACATGCATAAGCACTCCTTGCTAAAAATGCTCCATAGAAACCAGTAAAACCTTTTATGGGTACCCATTGAATTACATGGGTTTTTACTGACTTCTACTAGCTTCTGTTGGTCACTACTGGTTTTTCTTACTAGTGTTACGAATTTGGTATTTAAAAAGCTAATGTTAGTTCAATTATAAATTAATTGGTTTCATTTCCCGTGCAGTGCGGCGCGTGACGAATATTAAAAGAAGAAAGCTAAGCTGGAAAATTAAAAATACAAGAGCGCGGGCATTAAATAAATAAATATCTCTTTTTGATTTCGAGAAAGTACTGGAAAATTCTAGCGCGTGATTTTAAAATCTTATAAAAGGAGGAAAACATCTCAGTTTGTAGTAGTTGCTTAGTTTGTTGTTGTTTAGAAAACTGCTCTTGTTGATTGTAGCGAATTCGCGGATTAGCGTTCTTTAGCTGTTTTGAATTACGTTCTATTGGACATTTGAGTAGTTAAAAATAAAACTACTGTGAGATATTGTAATACTGCATGATAATTTGAGAAAATTTAGGCATTTTTGTTGGGATAATAATAAATTTTTGTTCATTTTTCATCGGACTTGTGCATTCATTTCATAACGAACCCGTACTCACGCAACACTAGTATCAAAATGCCCCATAGAAACCAGTAAAACGTTCTACTGGTCCTCAGAGAATTCTACTTGTTTCTATTCGTTCTGTGGGTTCTTTCTACTGGTATATTTTCATACCCATATAACCAACGTCAATGTCATAACTTTCTACTGGTTTTTATTGGTTTATACTGACCATTACTGGTTTTCCTACTGGTATAAGTAGAATTATATCGATACCAATGCAGTCGAAATGGATGTCAACATATCTTCGTTGGAGTTATGGGTTACACGAATTTTCTAACTGACATCAATAGACATCTTATAAACAATGAAATTAATAATGATATTATTCATACATTCATCGATATTCATGATGTTTACTGATTATTCATAATTATTTATTTATTTGCTACTGTTGAGTTTATGATTATTTCAGTTTTGCAATTAATACGAACGTTTAAAATTAAAAACCATACTGTGAACCCTCTCATCTCCATCACTTCCCTAAGACGACCAGCATTTCTAAAACTATAAAGAAACATCGGCATTAAATATGACCGTCAGAATAACCTGGACACGTAGGTAGCTCTCTTAAAAACATTTTGCTATATATATGCTCATTTATTTATTTTTTAAAAACTTTTGTTAAAAGCAATAAGAGTAATAGATACATACTTATGTACTTATATATACATCCACACACAATGAGGTCTTTCTAAGGCTACCAGCCATACATCTAAAACTTTTCTTTGCGGTTGCTCGCCTATATAAAGAAGGGCTAGTCAATATATACATTATGTTCGCAGAAATACTTTTAGCTTTTAGAGGCACTAGTCTTAAGGAGGTTGCCTCCCTGAATTGAGTTTCTGTAAGGCGACCAGCCACACATCCCTAATTTTTTTAAGATGGTCGCCTTAGAGAGGGATGTTCAGTACCAACACATACTTAGACTCTTTTAGAGGCTGTCATCTTAGGGAAGTGGTTACCACGAGTTAGTTTATAATGTATTTCTCTTAGCGTGCCTTCGTGGTGTAGTGGTCTGCACGCTGGGCCGGTATTCCAGAGGTCCGCGGTTCGATTCCCGGCGAAGGCGTTGTTAATTTTTCATCTTGTCTGCTTCCAAAAATAACTAATCTCTCTACAGTGGCGCCCGAGCTAAAAGGGTAGTGGATGATGATTTGGCGATTGGGTCCCTTAAAAAAAACCAGTCACTTTTTAAAAGGCGATATATAAGGTATTTCTCCCGTCTTCTTAGTGTGCGTTCGTGGTGTAGTGGGCTGCACGCTAGGCCGGTATTCCAGAGGTCCGCGGTGCGTTTCTCGGCGAAGGCGTTGCTAATTTTTTATCTTGCCTGCTTCCAAAAATACCTAATGTCTCTACAAGTTCACTGAATAGACGCATACTTATATACGCATACATCAACATTTCTGAGAGTACAAATAAATACTGGTATTGAACAACATCTCTTTAACGCTACCACTTTCACAGAAAGACAAAACTGTCTACAAATTAGGATTTTAGGGAGGGTTTGCCTTAGAGATTTGATGTTCAGTGTTTATGTTCTCAGTAATACTGGTCCCCTTTAAGGTTCGTCTTCACTAAGAGACGTTTGGCTACCTGCATGTACAGTGAATGCCTTCTGAGACAATCACCTATGATTCCAGATGTTATGGTCAATTGTGGAAGTAGTCGTCTTATTGAGCTTATGTTCAATATTTATATTTGCTTACATTCTACGAAATACTGATCATTTTGAGATGTGGTCGCAGGCGAGTGCTCAAAGCACAATTCATAAAAATAGATAAACAAACGGATTAAAAAATGCGCCCTGTATAAATACTTTCTGCGACTGTTTCTCGCTTTTGGATAATGATCATATCAATATACATAAAATAAACATGATAGTCAGAGATTATTCTACATGCTTCTCCCCCCTTTATAGTTCTATGCATTTCATCAGTGCTAATTGTGTGCTTCTGATAGTTTATGCTTATAATGACTAGCTTTTATGGAAATTTAATCTAGAGTTCTATTTTTGTGTATTTTTGAATAGGGATTCTGTGTACGGATACCCGTATAATTAATTCTATTGGTTTTTTGGCCAAAGGATACCCATACAGGTATACGGGCTTCTGTGCACTGGTTTTTCACGGGGATTTAACCTACGAGTACCCTTGCAGGTTTATTGGCTTTTTCTACGGAAACCCCGTAGACCAGATTCCCGTACATTTCTTTTACGGATCTGTAAGGGGCATTTTTAGCAGGTCTTGAAGTAATAAATTCTAAAAAAATTTTACTTTTTTCCAGATATTCCATTCAAATCGTTCATGTTTTTCAAATATATTTACTTTTGTTTAACTATTCCCTTAAACGTGGTTTACCATGAAGATGTCAGAAAAAGATTAATTATATTTTTTATTTTTTCGGAATGCTAAAGGGAATGCTTGAGTAATGCATACAGAAGGCTATTTTAGTGATGAACAGTTCAGCGTAACAGCCAACAAAAATAATTTCTTCTTTTCATATATTTTATTGCAGTTATGATAATGACAGATTTTTACTTACAGTTTTTAATTTAAATATTTTATATTCTGAAACATTAAGTATCTTCTTACAGTAACTAATATGTACTTTAATATTATCACAAGATATTCAGATAATTTTGGTATGAGATCAAACATAAGAATAAAGGATATCATCGTTAGGAAGATGAATAATAATGGGGATGTTTATCAGCTTATTTCTGCTGGGCATTGCGAATAATAATGACAGATAATATGTGAATCAACAAGAAGAAATATTAACGTTTGATACACATTTATTTTTTAAAAACCATTTCTCGGTCATTTTGAAGGCTGGCAAGTTTGAAGAATGGCAACTTCATCAAACTTGTCTTTGAAAATACATTACTTGGGAAAGGCATATTTACTATTTTTCTGGCTTAAATTTAAAAGTAACATAACCCTGTCTTTAAATAAATTTTTATCAGAAAATATTAGGAAGTCGTGGCTATAATAATCGTCTTTTTTCTTAGATATTTGAAGAGGGTTTTTATAAAATGTTCTTTACTTTCATTTCCATCGAAATAAGTTCCGAACAATTTCTTTTGCTTTCAACTGGGTGTATTCACCTTACACATGTCCCATGCAGCCAGCTCATTCCTTGAAATTTGAATCTGGATAGAACTATCAATGTTTAGTGCATCCCTCGATCACTGGAGAGTGAAATTTTCAAGAGACTAAGTATTAGATTCTTTGCAGAGATTTGGCCTTTTGCAGGTTGATGTGGTTAATACTAATGTTGATTAGTTCTTTACCTTTGGTATTGATGTTCAGTAGTTGCTGTCGACTCATTTTCATCATATTTTGTTCTATTTCTTATTTTAGATATTTCATATTGATATACGGGGCATGTAGAGAAATATGCGGGATGGTTGTTGTCGAACTGTGTTCTGTTTACATTATTGCTTATTGTACAATTGATACATCTTGTTATCTCTTTTGTACATGACGCCGAGCGATGTTTTCATCTACAATGTGAGCAGCAATTACTAAATTTACACTGTTCTTGAGATTGGCCAAATTCTTGGCAATTAAAACAGCGTTTAATACCTAGATATTCCTTGATATGTATAGATTGCCAGCCTGTTGTAAGTTGTTTGGTTTGCATTTCAGTTTTGAATGTTAGTAAGGAACACTGTAAACCCCAGTAGACACATCCTGGTGTTCGGTCTTTCAGTTTGAATAT